GTGTTACAGTTTTATTATAATAGGACAAAGATTTTTGCTTTTACGGACCTTTTCCGGTTTTCCGTGGGACAGCCCTCGTACTTCTCTGTTGACATCCACCCCTTGGCGCTCATATGACCTTATGCAGTTGTGAGCGCCGTAAAAACTCTACTAGAACAAAACAAGAGGTTGAGATCTATTGACCCTCCATCCTTCACGGTCGCGAGATGGCGTTGCACATTCTGCCATATCCAGGCCAGTCCATGTTTTTGTGTTGTCCATCCCAAGTTACTCTTTGTCTTCTCTTGGCTCTTCTGCCCTTCATCCTTCCTTCGAGCACCTCTTTCACAATGGTCTCGTGTCGTTTTAAGTGGCCAAAGTATTGCATTTTCCTACATTTTATTTCATTCAGCAAGGTTTGTCTTGTGTGGAGAATCTGACACATCTCATTGTTCGTCCTTTTTGCTTTTTTTTACGGGAGACTCCGATTTTTTTCCCAAACTAATTTTGGGAAGGATTTTTAGGAAAACTCAAACCTATTTTTTTTGGTCATGGAGGGGTTGGGTAAGTGGAAATTGGTTGTTTGTACAGGTGATTGTCTTGGACAGTATCATTATAATATATATATATATATATATATATGTATGTAAAAGAACTCAAGGGGGTAAGTGGGAAGTGTTCGTCTGTACAAGTGATTGTCTTGGACAGGTGGCCGTTGGAGCATGTACGACTGTAGTCTGATTGCCATTATCGTTATACCCATTAGATATGCGTGAATTTGAATAACATAAATATCTCACCAAACAAAGCAGGTGTTGTCAGTTTGAGATATTCATGTTTGACCCACTATTTCCCGGGTGCCTTGATAGTCGAAGCAGACTTTGTGCTGTTGAAGCTGGAGAGGTGAGCAGAGTAAGTCTGATTCCCTGTGAGGACTTCTCTGTTGACGTCCACCCCTTGGCGTTCATATGACCTTATGCAGTTCCGAGCGCCGAAAATTTCTACCAAAACTAAACTCAAATGTGATATTTTTGTTCCCAGTTCAATCTGGGATTCATCATCGCAAAGCTGGGCGTGGATTTGTTCATCGTCGACCAGCATGCAACAGATGAAAAGTACAACTTCGAGATGTTGCAGCGCCATACGGTGCTGCAGAGCCAAAAGATGATTTTGTAAGTGGCGGCGGATAGAGTGGGTGGTTGGCTGATGCCCATGATGTAGTTTGCTCCTTTCTTCCTATCAAACATCTGTTGTCCTTATCTCTCCCCCTCTTTTGCTCTGTATGTTCCTCTCTGGTAATGTTTCTCATCTCATAACATCTTGTCTGTTCAACAGTTGGTTGATAATTGGTCATAATTTGATTTCTCATTCTACCAGCAATTGCTCTGGTGTGGTTTGCTTCCTCTTTCCTATCAAACATCTATCGGCCTTATCTCCCCTCTTCCTTTTTTGTGTTTGTTACTCTCTTGTAACGCCTCTAATCTTCTGCACTTATATGACTTTGTTGTGTTGCAAGTGCTGTAAAACTCATACTTAAACTTTTAAAGAAACAACTAGCAATGATAATTGATAAATCAGCAATTACACAGAAGTGAAATTATGAGTCAACAAGATTTTAAAAGTGATATCCTCTCCATTTCTGTTTTGTAACTGTGTCTGTTTTTCCTGTTGACTCATGTGCAAGCGTACAGTTTTCTTTCTTTCTCTCTCTCTCTTTTTAAAAAAAAAATGTTTTTTTTAAACCATAATTTCCCCCAGACCCCAGTGCTTGGAGCTGACTGCCAGCAATGAGACAATTCTGGTGGACAACTTGGAAGTGTTCAAGAAGAACGGCTTCGACTTCCTTATCAAACCAGAAGGTAGAGAATTGTAGTTTTTTACATTCTGGATATGTGTCACAACGTGGTGGAGTCAATTTATGGGCATGTGAGGTTATTGATATTGTCTTAAAGCTTGTTCATTTAACTGTCTTGTGATGAAAGAAATACGCATCTATCTTGAATAGAAGTGGAAATATGTGCCATTAAAGGAGGTGGGGGTCGCCTGGTTACAGCAGCAAAATTAGTGAGAAAATGGCCACCAAAGTTGGTTGATATCCAGAGCTTGAGAGTCTTAAAAACCTGAAAATGTACCCTTTTTTTATGGTGCTTTTAATCGTTTCTCATCAAAATCCTAACAGCAATGTGTTTTACAATAACAAAACAAGGCGTTGAGCAAAATAACAGAAAATTGATACAAATTACTGAACAGGCAGAAAAAATGCCTTTTTCTTTGATTTTATTATTTTGACGAGAGCCTGATTTCACCACGATGCCTCGCATATGTAGTCCACTTGTAACAGCCTACGTTTGAATGAAAATAGTCCGTGTCTGTGTGTGTGTGTGTGTGTGCATAAATATATATTGCATGAGAAGAAAGGAAGTAATAAGAAAGATTTTGAAAATAGGTATTGCAATGAAAAGCGCATTGAGTTACTGTTTTTGGAAATGCGCTATAGAAATGTTATTTATTTTTTATTATTATTTAACAATCTCCCAAAATGATTTATTGATCTATTTATTATTGTGTTGAGCAGAGGTGCCAAATTTCCAGATAAATCTTTGTTTAGTGGGTGGTTGGCTGGTGCTCTGATGTGGTTTGCTCCTTCTTTCCTGTCAAACATCTATTGTCCTTATCTATCCTCCTACTTTTTGGTGTTTGCTACTCTCTTGTTACACCAGTAAACTTCGGCACTTATATGACCGTAATGCGTTGCAAGTGCCATAAAATACTTACTTAAAAAACGTTTAAAATCTGGGTTTCTAAAATTGTCCTGATTTTGCACTTTATGTACAAAATCTTCGTTCAAGATGTATGAGACGGGTGTAAATGAGAAATTTTGAGTTCCCGCCCAGGCACATTTCCACAGAGTTGGAAAAGTTCAGGATTATTTTTTTCTCGCAGCCAGTTGGCACCTGAGGTTGAGGGGGGTGTGAAGAATTTACATACATTGTACAGGAGGGGAGAATGTTGTTAGGATAAAGGAATTATGGTACCAGAGTGTATGTTTCAAACATTGTTTTGGGGGGGGATTATGTTTTTTGAAATCTTGTTCCATCTGTTCGTCTTTTCAGCTCCGCCTACTGAGCGAGTGCAGTTGATCAGTGCCCCAGTCAGCAAAAACTGGACATTCGGCAAGGATGGTACGTGGCATTTTCTTTCCGTAAGGCACAGCTTTTCTCTCGTCTGTCTGGGCACCTGTTAAGAATAATAATAATATTAGTGCACATGTATTGGGCAGTGGGTGGTTGGCGGATGCTCTGGTGTGGTTTTCTCCTTCTTTCCTATCAAACATCTATCGTCTTTATCTCCCCCTCCTTCTTTTTTTTGTTTGTTACTCCCTTGTAACACCTCTAATCTTCTGGCGCTCATACGACCTTATGCAGTTGCGAGCGCCGTAAAACCTCCACTGAAACAATATATTGGGCATCGTTGCTCTTTGTCCCTGGAAGTCTAAAACTGTGGCCGGTGAAGCACAAACGGACCCTGTGTCATGAAGGGGTTAACTCTTTAACCATGTCTGGACGGTGGCAGCGTCCGGTAGTCGAGGTCCCTAACCATGGCTGGACAGTACCACCATTCCGATGCGAAGTTATTATTTTGTTATGGTATGGGCTGAATATAAAAAACTACGAGCTAACAAGACTTTAGTTTGACCCGGAGGTCAAATATAAATGAATTCTACGTCTGGGTATTGCTTTATTGATCAGTTTGACATGAAACAAGCGGTTTTAAAAAAGTAATATGTCGGGTCGTATTTCCTCAAACATGAGAGTATTACGCGGAAACGTGATTTTAAATTGCATGGTTTAAGAGTTAATTAAACCAACACCATTTGATGTATAGTCATTCCTTCTTGTCTTTCTTTGTTTAGTGCCTTGAGGAGGTAACATAATAATAATAATAATAATTGCATTTATATAGCGCATATCCACGCTCAAGAGCATGCTCTATGCGCTTTACAACTATTATTACCCCAGGAGACCCTCTGAGAACACTCAGAAACATACTCGGCTTCCGCGGAAGCATACAGTGCAAGCTGCGGATTTCCTGCGCTCAAACACTATCAAACTGACAAGATCGTTCACTGTCTATAGCCGGGTACCCATTTCCACCTGGGTGAAGTGAGGAAAATTTGTGCAAAGTGCCTTTCCCAAGGACACAATGTCGGGCCCCTGACGGGATTCAAACCTACGACCTAACGGTTGCGAGTCCGAGAGCTTAACCACTAAGCCACCGACGCCACATAAAGTACTTACAATCTTATTCCTGTCTTGTTTCTTCGTAAATGGCCGGCAAATGAACAAATATTTTCCTTTCCCATGTGCCCAATTTTTTGAATATCTTTGAAATACCTGGTGCCGTTGAAATTGTTTTAGATGGCAACCCATCGTGGAGGATTTAAAGTGATTTCTCAGGCATGTGGAAGTCTTGGATGGGCGTTCTAACACAGAAAAAATGCAAGGCGGGAAGTGGACGTTTGTATAAGTGGTTGTCTTGGGCAGATGGCTCTTTGAGTTTGAGCAGGTTCGACTGTTTGTCAAAAATCAGGAATCTGCTGTTGCTGTGACTTGAGGATAAAAGCTCAAACAGAACTACCCACCTAGTAAAGTAAACAATGGTTGGCAGGTGCTCTGGTGTGGTTTACTCCTTCTTTCCTATCAAACATCTATCATCCTGATTTCTCCACCTTCTTTTTTGTGTTCGTTGCTCTCTTGTAACACCTCTAATCTTCGGCATTTATATGACCTTATTGTGTTGCAAGTGCCGTAAAACTCTTACTTAAACTAAAAAACATATATGGAGTTGGAGAGAGGTTTTGAAAACCAGTGGTCTTCACTTATGGAGTTGGAGAGAGGTTTTGAAAACCAGTGGTCTTCACTCCACCCCCACCCCCCTCCTTTTGATGTAATGGCAGCTTTGGTTGCTGGGTGCTGCTCTTTTTTATTTTCATTTTTTTGGGGATAAGTGTTTTACGGCGCTCGAAACTGCATAAAGTCATAAATGAGCGTGCGAGACACATAAGGCATTTTCAGTTGGTAGGAAATTTTGAATTTTGCCCAGGTGGCAGTTGAAGCCTACTCTTATCGGTTTTAGATAGCCAAGTGATCTTTAACGTGTGCAACTTGCACACAGGCTCTCCAAGACTTTTTGCCATTGTCCAAGAAGGTTAGGTGTCGATCTTTCCTATCAGAAGACCAGAGGTATGGCAGAAAGACAGCAATAAGAAGGAGCCAAGGAGTAGCAGTAGAAAGGCTGCAGAAAGAGTTAGGAGGGGCAAAGGAGGTGAGGGGGTGGGGGCAGAAAGTGGAGACGAAAGCAGATGACAGAACATTGCTAGAGAGCAGGAAAGGAGGTGAAAGGAGACAATTTTAGAGAAGAAAAATGTTCTGTCACAACACGGATTCACACCCGGGTGAGAGGCGAACACCTTGACCTCTAAGCCACAAGAGCCCCCTTTGTTTGTCTGATGTACGCAGTATTGTAAGAAAAAGGTTTCTGATTGCAAATAACAATTATGATTTTATCTCTTTTCTTTTCAGACATTGAAGAACTCCTCTTCATGTTGATGGATTCTCCAGTAAGTTCTTGTGTGCTTTCTGAGAAGAGCTGTTGGGGAGGGGGGGGGGGGCGCGTGATTATCTGTACTAGGTGGTAGGGATGGACAGGTACCGGTACCCAGTACCGGAACTCCCGGTTCTACCGAAGGAGGTGTCAGTACCGGCACCTGGCCTCCAATACACACCAACGGTTATACCGGCTCTGGGAAGGAGCTGACACCACTGTGGCCAACACCAACGTTTTTTTTTTTACCTCAGGAAGTGTGCCGTGTGTTGGGGGGTGTGGGCCTGGCGCTGATCGTGGCGTTAGACGCAAGACGCGAAGTCTGGGACGTCACATACTGGTGTCGGTACTGGCGGTTCTCGGGAAAGTACCGACACTGGATTTCGCAGGTACCGCCCAGCATTACCAGGTGGAGGAGAGTTGTTTGGGTGGTTTTAGTTACAGTAAGAGTTTTACGGCACCTGCAACATTATAAAGTCATATAATCGGCACTTATATGACCTTATTGTGTTGCAAGTGCCGTAAAACTCTTACTAAAACAACAAACAAATTCATATAAGTGCGGAAGATTGGATGTGTTACGGGAGAGTAACGAATACAAGGAGAGGAGGGGAGATATGATGCGTTGGGGTGGGGGTGGGGGGGAATTATCTGTACGAGGAGAGGAGGGGAGATATGATGCGTTGGGGTGGGGGGAAGTATCTGTACCTGATAAGGAGAGGAGAGCTGTTTGGATGGGGGTGGTATTATATGCTGTTGTGGAAGGGGGGGGGGGGGGGAATTATATATACCTGATAGAGGGGAGCTGTTTGGGTGAGGGTTCAGTACGTGTCTGGGGGGGGGGGGGTTCATTTTTTTCTATACTCCTTGATTTTAGGGTAGGTAAGATTGAAATTTCCGCTGTCTCATTTGGGGATTTTGCATGTTCAAGATGTTTTGGCAGATCTAAAATTAAAAACAGTAGGTGTGGTGCAATTTCCAAATAAGTTCTACCCAAGATTTGACGCCACTCTAGTCAGTATTTAAATACTGTGTTTATGAAAACAAATGTGGCAGCCTATCAGGCAAGGAATAATTTTGCTTTCTATGCAGATAAACTAGCCATGTACGTAAAAATCAATTGCACTTTGAGAGGAAAAAGATCTTACAGTTACCACTCAGCTTTAGCAGTAGTAGGGATGAGAAAAGAAAGATGTCAACTTTTTAAAACTTTTTTGTTTTGTTTTGTTTTTGTTCTAAAACCACTGCCAAGGTCCAATCTGCGTGTCCTCAGAAAGAATTGGGAAAGAATCACTTCTCGGCCTTTTGGCTAAGATCAAAGGTGGTGTCTGTTCTCAGCTTCTCCTCCGGCCTTGTGCCCACTGGTTTAGCGAGGCGGATACTGCCCGAGGCACCCGAGGGACGGAGAAATCTGTCCCTCGTTTCTATTGAGTGGACGGTCATCGTCCAATTAAAAAAAGGAGAAAAAAAGGGAAAGAATCAAGAGTCAGCGGACTCTAACTTATGACAATAACACTTGTGTCTTCTCTCATCATTTACATTAGAAGGTTTGCGGTGAAAAATCTTATTAGTTTTAGTAAGAGTTTTTCGGCAATTGCAACACAATAAAGTCATGTAAGTGCCGAAGAATAGATGTGTTTCAAGAGAGTGACGTACACAAAAAAGAAAGAGGTTGGCGGGTGCTCTGGTGTGGTTTGCTTCTTCTTTCCTATCAAATATCTATCGTCCTTATCTCCCCTTCTTTTTTATGTTTGTTACTCTCTTGTTACAACTCTAATCTTCTGGCGCTCATTGGACCTTATGCAGTTGCGAACGCCGTAAAATCTCTACTACCCTGTGGGGCGGTGCTACTGACTGAAGTGTCTTTAGGCCATTCCCAAAGGGGGGGACATTTCTCGTTCATGCACAGTAGAATTGTAAATGGGCTGATTCATCAATGTCACGCTCGTAACTGCCTGATCTACAACAGGGAACTGCTGCTTTTTCTTTCCTAATCCTTACTATTGTCATTTTGTCCTCTACTTCTTTTGTATGTTTGTCACACTCTTGTGACCCGCTATTTCCGGGTTGCCTTGAAAGTCGAAACAGACTATGTGCTGTTGAAGCTAGAGAGGTGAGCGAAGTAAGCCTGATTCACTGTAAAGACTTCTCTGTTGACATCCACCCCTTGGCGCTCATTAGACCTTATGCAGTTGCGAGTGCCGTAAAACCTCTACTAAAACAAACACCCTTGACGTGTTTCTCTTGGTTTCTCCGCAGAATGTGATGTGCCGGCCCACACGTGTAAGAATGATGTTTGCTTCGAGGGCGTGCCGAAAGTCTATCATGATTGGAACAGCTCTCAAGAAATCAGAGATGAAGAGGGTAGGACAGGGATGCCGTTTAAAAAAAATGTTGCCAATTATTTTTGTGCTGTTTTTTTATTGGAAGAATAGTTGTCCTTCTAAGCGTTTCGCTTCCTCAGAATTACGAAGTTCTGTCTGCTCAGTACCTAGATCTAGTTTTGACAAATTTGATGTCAAAATTTTTGAGTTTCTTTATATATATTTTGTCAAGATTTCTCAACTGTAATCCTTGATATTGACTCTGAATATTCTTACGATTTTGATATAGCACACAGAGCAGTTGTTTTCTGACTTGATGGTCTTAATAACTCAAAATGGCCTAAAAATGTCCTTCTTCTGCTTCTTCTTCTTCTTCTTCTTCTTCTTCTTCTTCTTCTTCTTCTTCTTCTTCTTTTTTCTTCCTCTTCTTTTTCTTCTTTTTTCTTCTTCTTCTTCTTCTTCTTCTTCTTCCTCTTCTCTTCCTCCTCTTCTTCCTCTTCCTCTTCCTCTTCTCCTCCTCCTCCTCCTCCTCTACTTTTCCTCTTCTCTTCTTTTTTCTTCTTTTTCTTCTTCTTCTTCCTCTTCTTCTTCTTCTTCTTTTTCTCTTCCTCCTCTTCTTCTTCTTCTGTCTTCTTTTCCTCCTCCTCCTCCTCCTCCTCCTCGTGGGAAGCTCCGTTAGCTCAGTTGGCATCATGCTAGACTATAGGACGTATGGCCCTGGTTTGAATCTCCTAATGGACATTCTTGAACTTAAGTCGCTTTGATGCAGAGTTTTCAAAACTCTCAACCCATTTGGCTCAGTCCTGTAACAGACAGGTTTTAAATTTGAGGTTCCACCACATAACCTAATACCAGGGATGCCAAATCTCCGGTTTTTCCGTTTTTTTCATACATTTGCTAAGGAAAGGGGAGTGGTAAGAGAAATTTTTTTGTTTGCTCATTTAAAGATCTTACAAAGTATGTTTTAGGTTAGATGTGATGCTCCGCACATTTTCAGGTTTTTTTTTTCAAATATCATTTGGCATCCCTGTAATACTAATAGTGTTGATAGCAATGATATGGGTGGTTAACCCAGACACTTCTTTTCAATGGCTCAGTTGTTGCTTTGGCCCTTGTAGCTACTCCTGTAATGTTCATGGGATTGGCCTCGTGTCCTGTTTCAGGGCTCTCTGTGTCCTGCACTGCTGGAGGATGTGTGTGTTTGTGTATGTGTTTGGGTGTGTGTGTGTGTGTTGTATGTGTGTGTGTGTGTTGTATTTGTGTGTGTGTGTTGTATTTGTGTGTGTTATGTGTGTGTGTGTTCCATATCGTGGCTCTGTGTGTGTGTGTGTAAGTGTGTGTGTTGTATGTGTGTGTGTGTTGTATTTGTGTGTGTTGTGTGTGTGTGTGTGTTGTATTTGTGTGTGTTGTGTGTGTGTGTTCCATATCATGGCTCTGTGTGGGTGTGTTGTATGTGTGTGTGTGTGTGTTACATGTGTGTGTTACAGACCTGCCACTCATCCCGATTTAGTCGGGATATCCCAATTTTTTGCTTCAAATCTCAAGCATCCTGATTTTCCCGATTTCGATCACGTGTATCCCGATTTTTTGTCCCAGTCTGCTGTTGTGTCGGATTTTTATTAAAAAGTACTCTGCCTTCTCCTTTATCGCGGGAAGCACCCGTTGAACTTTTTGTCAGTAGGAAATCGGAGCACTATTTCCCGAAATATCGATGCCGCAATTAGTATTTGACTCGCCCCAAGGTGTGTGTGATCTTTTCCCCGCACTCAGAATTCTCCGATGATAGCCTGGTAACTGTTACAATTTGGGACATACAAATAATCGATAATATTCGTAGTTCGCTGCTACTTTCAAAACAAGCCTTGTCCGAGGTCTGGTAACTGTGCGTTCACACCAAACACTCGGACGAGCGACTGTCTTTCTAACCCTTATACAACTACATGTAACTGCGCTGACAAGACAAACATACGGCCGATGTCGTTGCTTTAGTCTGAACGCATTATGAGGGATAAGAGATTTGTTGGTACAATTGGTCGGTCGGCCGCCGTTGTTATCCAAGAGTACTAGAAGTGGAACGACTGTCGCTCATCTGAGAGTTTTGTGTGAATGCGCAGTTAGTCGGACCCGTTAATAAAATTGTTTCAATCGCGCATTCGCGTCACGTGACATGGCATCGCCGTGTGAGTTCTGCGTGTCGGGGACCGTCCGTTGTCGGGGTCAACTTAAGTTCATGTATTTCGGGACTTATTGGTTGGGGTGGGTGGGGGGTATAGACACTTGGACAAGGAATGCTTGACGTGATGCTTCAGGATTTACAAAAAAATAATGATAACTCGCACGCACGCGCGCGCGCACACACACACACACGCGCGCGCAAACAAAGACACTCAGGGGGCATATAGGCCAAGTAATTTATGGACACCCCTGGAAAAATTCTAAGTCAGCTTTGGCAGTCACCTTGGTGATTTGCTGTTGATCCCGATTTTTTTCACCAAATCCCGATTTTTTCTCCCTGAGATCCTGATTTTGAGGTTTCATAGAGTGGCAGGTCTGGTGTTATGTGTGTGTTGTATATGTGTGTGTAGTGTGTGTGTGTGTGTGTGTTCCATATCATGGCTTTGTGTGTGTGTGTGTTATATATGTGTGTGTGTGTGTTGTATCTCAGGGCTCTCTGTGGCCTGTACTGCTGAAGGATGTGTGTGTATGTGTAAGTGTGTGTGTGTATGTTCCATTTCATGGCTCTCTGTAGCTAGACTGCTGAAAGATGTGCTCCACAGTTTGGTCCGCCTCTCCCCACTGCATTTTGGTGATTGTACTACGATAGTTGAAAACTTTTACTTGTTACTTTACTTTTTCATCCTCTCTTGCCATTGAGGGTCGAGGGGAGATTCAGTTTTCTATGGGAGGCCAGCTCTGCAGCTCTTTCGATTGGGATGTTTTAGTAAAAGCAAAGTGCCTGCCTTGTCTTAGTCTTGTGTGTTGTGTTCTTAGTGCTGTTTGGTAATATGATGTATTTTTCTGTATTTTCAGTTGGTGACTCACATGGGAGAGATTGAACAGCCCTGGGTGAGTCGAGAGCTATCAGAACAATTTGCGTTTAAAATTTCAAAATATACCTTATAAAATGCCATCCTGATAGCTAGTCATTCTCCTTCATAGAAAGCACTCTTATGCTCACAATGTGCTGTACATATCGTCCTTGATTGTGCTGTGATAGTATGCGTGTCTCCTCATGTGTTCATGTTATTCTAAAGAGCGTGTCATGTGTGCATGTTCTTTCACTTTGTTCATGTTCATTTTGTACAGCCTAGAGTTATGCTGTACGTGAGTGGGCTCTCCAGAAATTATCAGCATTATTACCATTATTATCTTTGTTATTATTATTATTCATTATCATTATTATAATGTCGCGACCGCAGTGCTTTCTTGTTGTATCTCCTTTTTTTTAACAGTGAAAATGTGACTTCTTCTTTAGCTCATTCTTTGTTGTGAACTGTTTTCACTGTTATTAAAAATGGAGATACGACAAGAAAGCATTAAGTTCACAATGTGCTGGCATCATAATATAAATATATGCAGCCATTGTTTTGGTTGTTTTTTTTAAAGGTAACTTTCTTGTTTGGTGATCTATGTCCAACATCCCACCTTGAGCCGTCTCTGTTTGCCGTAAAACTTTACTTTAGTTAGGAAATTAAATATTTGTTATCGTTTTGTCGTGGGTTGGAAGATATGTGAGTATGAAAGTGTACATATTTCGCTGGATGTGTGTGAAGACTAAGAGTCGGATTAATACCGCACTAGAACACAATTCGCTTTCTTCTTCCTGTCTCTGAGAACAGATCTCACCGGGGTCAAACCTACCTTTTCTCCATGTTTCTCCTTTCTGGTACTGGTACAATTTTAGCTATATTAGCTCCTGCGTCTGTGGTGTAGCGGTGAGGGGCTTCGCCGTCGCACACAGGGGACCCGAGTTCGATTTCCAAGTGGGGAGAAATTTTTTGTAAAATCTTTATCTCAGTGGGTGGTTGGCGGGTGCTCTGGTTTGGCTGCTTCTTCTTTCCTGTGAAACATCTATCGTCCTTATCTCCCCTTCTTCTTTTTTTATGTTTGTTACTCTCTTGTAACACCTCTAGCTCATATGACCTTATGCAGTTGGGAACGCTGTAAAACCTCTACTAAAACTAAAAACTAAAAACTTCTTATCTCAGTCTTTCTTCTGTGATGTTGTATCCTTCTCCTCCTGTGTTGGCCCTGACAGGCAGGGTCGGAAGCCCACCACCTTAATGGTCTAGATTGTGTCAATGGGGGTGGAAAAACAGCTACATTGAAAAAATAAATGCCGTGCTTGAAGATGGCCTTAACTGTCGCTTACAGAGAAAGACAGTCAACCCTAGGAAGCAGTCGTATTTTCTAGAAATCTGCAGTTGTTCAGAGATGTTTGCGTTTGAGAGAAATAATAATTATAATATTAATATTAAATACCATTTGTATAGTACATATCCTCACTCAAAAGCAAGCTCTATGCTCTTTACAGTCTATATTATTCCCCCAGCAGACCCTAGAACACTAAGCAACTTTCTCTGATTCTTGGAAAGCATTGTCATTGATACAGCCCCCGCAGATATGGCTTCGCTCATTTTTTCTCCGACAACAAACTTTATCTATTCCCGGAAACCATCCATTGCAACTGCATCTTGAACCATTATTCACTTAGCCGATTGCATGTGACCAATCAGCGGCCTTTATTCATACCAACACATGCGTTGTTGGCTCGCGCACGTGTCTGCTCTGGCGTGTGTCGGGGTCGGATGGGCGGCCTGCACTCGTGCGGCTGTGTGTGCGTGTCGGGGAAGGGGGGGGGTGCACTAGCGGTCCAGGCGTTGAACGTCACAGATACAAACACGTCAGTCTTTTTTCCCCCTCTGCAACTGATCATTATTACAATAAGCGATATAGTCTTGACGTAGATCTTCGTAATGAATTATGCGCTTGTCTATGAAATCAAAAGTTGCCTTATGCTAGGCTCTACACAGCAACACAACTTTGTGGTAAACAATCGAGATGACACAGGAGTGCATTTGAACAAATCGGTCTTCTTTTTTTTTGCGCAGCTCGTAATAATTATGCAAGCATTTCAGGCACTACTTGTGAATTCTCTTTATACATTACTTTTTCAGTGCCTGTAATTATCTATACAAAACCTTGTGTTTGCTATAACGAACACTCGGATTCAACGAGATTTTAGGTCAGGCCCGGCGACCTCATTGAATCTGAGTTCCACTGTACTGTCTAATCACACCTCTAATCTTCGGCCTTTATCTGATCTATTTGTGTTGCAAGTGCCGTAAAACTCTTACAAAGTTGGTTGTTGGTGGGTGATCTGGTGTGATTTGCTCCTACTTTCCTATCAAACATTTATCTTCCTTATAAATCTCTCCTCACTTCTTTTTTTGTGTTTGTTACTCTCTTGTAACACCTCTAATTTTCGGCACTTACCTGATCTATTTGGGTTGCAAGTGCTGTACAATAACTAGTACTACTAAAATTTTTAAAAACTCTTTAACAGTCTCAAGTCTGTCTTTTATTTCTTACATTACTGTCAAGTCACACCTCTAATCTTCAGCACTTACCTGATCTATTTGTGTTGCAAGTGACGTAAAACTCTAACAAGAACTTAACCAAAGCCAACTGTCTGTGTTGTCAGAGCTGCCCCCACGGACGGCCCACCATGCGACATCTGTTCAACATGGACATGCTGCCCACATGAGCGGGAGATGTCCTGTGGCCCAGGAGGGCATGCAGCAGTGTGGGGAGCTCCTGTCAGCCTGGAGGAGAAGAGAATTTCCCACAGTGACCCAGGCTGTGTTGATATTGTCGCTCAGCTCGCCGAGTGTCAGTGAGAGCCCTGTCAGTCCACCAGCAAACCGGAGCGCACTCTTATAATAATAATAGTGATAATAATCAGGGTTGCCAAGTCTCCGTTTTTTCCTGCTTTTTGCGGGGGTTTTTTCATACACTTGCAAAGGAAAGGTGAATGGTAAGAGAAATGTTTTTGTTTGCTCGTATAAAGATTTTACAAGGTTCGTTTTAGGTGAGGTGTGATACTCCGCTCATTTTCCTTTTTTTTTTTCAAAAATCATTTGGCATCCCTGAATAATAAATTACATTGCTATTGATCCCCATCGGGCAATTTGTGTTACCATGGCAAACATACAAAAGTAAATTACATAATTATAAATACATACATGACATAAATACCAAGGGTTACTAAAAAATACATGCACCACCGAATTCCTGACTTGGCTAGCAAAGACCATTGCTGTCTCCATCATGATAGACTTCAAACCCCCAAGGGTCATCATCATAAACCTCACGGGTCTGTAATAAGCCTCACAACATGAAGTTTTTAGCATGCGCAGTGGCGTCTTCCTTGTGACATCACACAGATCATAACGATTCCATGTCATCTTTTTAGAATGCAGCACAATCTTATTTTGACCTTATGCAGTAGCGAGCACTGACAGCAATATTTCAGAAAAAGAGGTGTGCATTCTAAAAAGTGATGTAGTGTCTTTGTTATGACGTTTAGCAATTAGATATATATATATATATATATATATATATATATATATATATATATATATATATAACAATGTTTACATATAAATGAACAAAGATTTTAAAAATTAAAGTTTAATCACGTTTTATAGGATTTTGTTTATGTGGCAGTCGTGGATGTTGTTGTTGTTGTTAAAAAAATAACATTTTAGTGAGTTAAGACAACATGACTGATTAAACATTGAAATAACAAAACTGTTTGTGTGACAAATAAATGTTGAAAAACTATAAGATACCATTGTGGGTTATTAGTGTGTGGATTTTTTATATTGCTGTTGTTGGAACTGCTGTGATGCTGTTGTGGTTTTAAAATAGAACATACACACATTCACAACACCAAAAAAAGAAAAGTCAACGATGGGAATGCATTGCACTTGTATTTGTAAAGAGTGTGTCTTTTTGTTGTTGCAGTTGCATGTTGTTACTGTATTGACAGAGTCACCTAACTAAAAATGTTTTGGATCAAAAAGTTGTTGACTGAATTCGGCGAAATTTTTTGCGGAATGAAACAAATGGCTATGCATACATCGTAGCTGGATCTCATGCTTTTAGCAGCATTGGTATAGACGCAATACAGCGATAATGATGATCCCGTTTTTTCTACGGGAAAAGTCTGACACCACCATGTTTTTGACAGGAAACGTCTTCAGTGAGTTAATGCTTGCACATCCACTTCCTTGTAGTTACGACATTTCTGTGCTGTAATATACTGCTTCTGCCTCTTGGAGGCATGCTGTTCTTCATCTTCTGTCTGTGCAACAGCACACGCTCCCATCTTGTTCTGCCTGGCCACTTCCTTGCAGTTAGGAAATTTCTGTGTAGTAATACTGCTTCTGCCTCTTCTTAGGGAAACTACCCATAAAAAAATACAGATGGATTATTCCACAAATGCTTACTTCCCTTGCATTTCTGATTTAACAGGGATCTGATATAACAGGACTTTTTCTCTAGTCCCACCATCCCTGTTATATCAGGTTTCCACTGTAATTACCCCAGCAGATGCTAGAACACTGAAAAACATTCTCAGATTCCTGAGACGGCTGTGGTTTTATCCAAGTGTACATCTACCTTTGTGTGTGTGTATGCAGGTGTTGTAAATTTTACGCCCCCTTCAACACAATTTAGATAATTTGGGAGGCAGGCTTCTGACCTTGCCAGTCAAGGCCAACCGGGGCTGAACTGAGAGGGATGCATTAATTTATGTACAACACCCCAGCAGAACGACCGAGATACTCGATAACAATTTTCTCCTCACTCAGAAACAGAAAATATTTTCGGGTCTTCTGCGTGCGACAGCCTGTCCCCGTGGTTTTGTGCACCCCGCATAATTTAGCAAAATTTGATCATTTTTTGCATAATTTCTGATTATTTTCCTTTATCATTCTTTGTTTTTAAAAAATCAGAACCGCATGATTTCATATTTTTGGGCTCAGTTTGCACAATTTCAGAATTTTTCTTGCATAAAACGACGGAGACCGGACAGCGAAGTGCCTAACCTCTACACCACAGACGCCAGTATCTACTCTTGTCATGCTCAGAGCCTCAAGTCAGGGATTGTTCACAAATGACGTTAGCTAAAATTTGTCAAAAAATGACCCCCCCCCCCCCACTTTCCCACCTTACTCATCTTCTGTCATCTTTCCCAGGACCCACACACCCCTCCGGCGGGTTTTTGGCGGGTGCTCTGGTGTGGTTTGCTTCTTCTTTCCTGTCAAACATCTATCGTCCTTGTCTCCCCTTCTTCTTTTTTATGTTTGTTACTCTCTTGTAACACCCCTAATCTTCTGGCGCTCATATGACCTTGTGCAGTTGCGAGCGCCGTAAAACCTTTACTAAAACTAAAGCTAAAAAACCTTCATTTTTGTGTTCGTTACCTTGTAACACATTTAATTAGGTACCGCAGGCGAGCCTTTTCAAGGCAGACAGCTACGGCTGCAGCCAGATTTAGACAACTTCATCCAACTATTAGCTGGTTTTAATTTTGGTAAACACTAATAAAAAATATACCACTGTTTTCTGTGTCTTTCCTTCTCCATGGTGAACGAGAAACTGATACTTATGATTGCATATTTCGTTTTTAATTGACTAAAGTTTAACACGGGAAAACTCGGCGGTCTCGCAATTTTGCGTGCTTAGATTTGGGGGGTACTTGTTTTAAATTTCGATTTCTCAGTCGTGAATCATCGAATTTTCTTGCGGTTTGAAACATAAAAATCTGGGATTTCAGGAGAATTTCCGGGGAATGTGTTTATGTTTTTATTCCTAGCGGAAAGCTTGAGATGTACTAAAAGTCTCAGTGATGGTAACGAACCGCCCCTGACAACTGCAAAGGTTTCTCTGATCTTACCCAGCCTCTCCGGACTCGCAAGCTTCCCCTACTCTCTTCTCTCTCTCTCTCTTTCTCTCTCTCTCTCTTTCTCTCTCTCTCTTCCTCCCTCCCTCCCTCCCTCTCACTCTCTATCTCTCTCTCTTTCACTCTCTCTCTCTCTCTCCCTCTCTCCCTCTCTCTCAATAAAATACTCTCATGCGCACAACAAACATGAAAATAACCTTTTAATCAGCAACATTTTAGTATTAAAAATTCTCATTTCGAGACTTCGTCACTTCTTATTGATCTGACTAGACGGTCGTGCCAGTTGGTATCATTTTAATCAGATTATGGACACAGTTTCTCATGGCTTATTATCAAAACATGTAAAAAGATTCACAGACTGATTCCCAAGAGATAACTGCGGCGGCAAAGGAAAGCATACTTACTCGTGGAACTCACAGAGTGATGTAAGTATTTTACTTTTACCGCCGCTTATACCCTTTTAGGTGTTGCGAGAAGAAAAAGACGTCTCTCTGCCACCAGCCGGAGAGCTTGGGTCAGGGAGTGATGTAAGTAGCATCCAAAGTATCGTAAGCTCCGTTTTATCTCTTCTTGTGTGTTTCTATATACTTAAATCCTCGCCATGCTTTTCAAATAGGTACTTTCCCTTTGCAGTTGTGGAGCTAAGGCCTCATAGATGGTCAGGTGGCGTCGGTAGCGTTGTGGTTAGGCTACCAGACTCGTAATCGTGAGATTGCGGGTTCGGAGGTTCGAGCCTCGACCCGAGAGTGTGTGTCTGGGAAAGGCACTTTACACGAATTTCCCTCTTGGCTCGGTCCTTTCCGAAATGGACTTTACCTTCTTAAATAACCTAATAGTGTTGATAGGGGCGTTAAACCCATACTATTTTTGTAGACGGTCAAATGATTGCAAAAATGAAGTAAGCTGCAAAGTTCATTTGTCACAGCAAGAAACTCTGAACAAGAACTTTCGATGTATTCTCTCTCTGAACAACAGAATCAAATAAAAGTGCCCTCCCCATTCACAGCACGAAGTTTCATTTAATATGCCCCTGATTTTCTGGTCCGATAAGCTTTCTCTGAAGATCTTAAGTAGGACTTCAATTTGATCTCAGAAAAAAATACTTCCATAATTCTATGACTTTCTTTACCTGAAGCTGTTATGTTTTCACATATACGCAAAGTGAGATTTCCAAAGTTATAACTAGAACAAAAGAAAGGGGGGGGGGGGTCCATTTCTTGTTGATGTAATTTGTTTCTCTTGGTATTAATTTTATTTAGTGCACATTCAGTAAGTCAACTCTTCTTTTACTGCTGTTTAGCATTACAGTGGCACGTATTTATCTCTAACGATGGGTGTACCTTAGTCTCTGTCACTTCTTTATCTCGTTGTTTCACGTCCCATCTAATAATAATTTACGCATTTTTCAAGTTCCCAGTAAGGCCTCTGTTTGCTGCTACAGCCATGCTCGGCTATCCAAAATCATGGAGATACCATTGGCTGGTTGTTTTAAGTTCGGATTTGTTCTTATTTCAACCCGGGATCTGCCAGATTGATGAATCTATTGAATTTAAACAGATACTCTCGCTCCTGGACAACTGCCCCACCGTACAAACTGAGCTGTTCCCTCTGTGTTACCAAGATACCTCGTGCCTGACTCACTGTGGTCAAGGGATAAACAGGAACATCTACTTTCAGTCCCCAGGGGATGGCACCTCTTTCTGTCACTGTGACGTAGACTGTCTTCTCTACCAAGACTGCTGTCTTGACTTTCCCAAACAAATGCTCAGAGGTGTACAACACAGCTGTTTCGCTGCACCGCGATAGATTAGATGGTGTATCCATGTAGGCTACACCTCAGCTCCGAGCTGCGTGCAAGAATATTCAGTGATCTGTGAATGTCCTGAGTCCGGGAACAGATCAGAGTTACTTGACCATGACCCAAAAACACAGCTGAGTCCTGATGTCGTCGTCACGGAACAACACAGCGGGATTCATTACAAAAACCTCAGTGTGTTCTTTTGCCATCACGTTTAGATCTAGAATCTAGATCAATCTTAAACCAATTTCACTTCAATTTAATTGCAATTTTTTTTGGGTGACCTTATTTAGGCCACATATGGCCTAAATAAGCTAAACCCCCCTCCCTTACCTTATTTAGGCCTCACCTGTGGCCTAAATAAGCTAAACCCCCCTCCCTTACCTTATTTAGGCCACACCTGTGGCCTAAATAAGCTAAACCCCCCTCCCTTACTTTATTTAGGCCACACCTTTATGCAAAGTCACAGAAATATTCCTTTTGTGCTTATGGAGGTACAGTGCATGGTGATTTTACCTGCAAGGATAATTGGACAAAATGGGCAACATCTTTATTGCAATGGTCATATTTAGACAAATCCTATATCATTGTCTTTTTTTTCTTAACTGCTCATGGTTATATAAGAGTAAGCCAACTAGGTAGTAATTTCGGATTCCTAATACTATTATGGGCATTCTTAAAAATTTTTAACTTGTTTTTACCGCTTTTCTCAACGTAAAACGGATTCCGTAAAACAACAATGACCTTATCTTTCTTTTTCAAAGTATTGTGCATATATATTTGTGAAACTATATATTCTATGCTTTCATGTACATGAAAAAAGCTAATAAAGGCAAGCAAAATGTTCTTCAGATACATAGATCTAGTAGTAGGCCCACTGGAATTTTTTTATAAACCGGGAAAGATGACCAGAAAATAACAAAATTATTTTATGATCTTCACTTGCACTTGCAATTTTTTGGACAAATTATAGTCTACCTCATTGTCTTTTTTCCCCGCATTTTTCTTCACTATTCATGACAACTGGCATGTATTGTTTTCAGTTATTATTAAAAAAGTGGATAGGCGGACTACGGGGTCTATCTAGCCAAAAGGATAGGTGGACCCCGGGGTCTACCTAACAAAATGCTAGGTTTTAGGATGTGAACCCCGGAGTCAGCGTAGTGAAATAAGTAGTAGATCTAGGTTTAACCAAAGATAGTAAATAACAAGATGGGCCACTCAGCCAAAAAAGTGTCCGCAGGAAGTATGCTCTTTGCTTCAGATGGCGCTGCAGTCTGTTTTGAAGCTATCTTTCGTTTTTCCAGAAGAAGAATAGGAATAGCACCTCCTTGCGTGCGCAGATCGACTGCTGTTCATCAGCAGTTCGGGTACGTTCAGTGCGTAGTTTTAGGGTTTTTAAAAATTTTAATGACCTCTCGCCTTTCATTCTAAAGTCAAATTAAATGAAGAAAACCATCACCCTTTCCTCCGGAAGAGTTTTTATGTCAGCGTAACCATTTTAAAAAAGCGTTCTTCCGAAATTTATCCCAAAACATGCTAGTTTCACTTTAATTTTTTAAAACTCAAGTAGGGTAACTCTGTTCGCAAAGAGTGCGCTTTTGTGAAGAGGGCGCCACCAAATTTTGAGGACACTTTTTTAATTGGCTCAAAGAGAGAAGTGGCCCATCTTGTTATGTACTATCATTGGTTTAACTAAGGATCGGTGGACCCCGGGGTCAACATAGTGAAATAAGTAGATCTCAGTTTATTTTATAGTGGGACTGGCGGAGCCCGTGGTCAACGTAGTGAAATTATAAGTAGAAATAGGTTTAATTAAGGATTGGTGGACCCCGGGGTCAACATAGTGAAATCAGTAGATCTAGGTTTAACACGAGATGTCCACATCACATCCAAGTATCCTACTCTCCAACATTCTTGCTTACCTAAATACCAATCATCAAGAGCAATTGGATTATTTGTTTTAATTAGTGGGGGGTTTTTGGTAGAGGTTTTACGGTGCTGCAACTGCATAAGGTCATATGAGCGCCAGAAGATTAGAAGTGTTGCAAGAGAGTAACAAACATAAAAAAGAAGGGGAGATAAGTATGATAGATGTTTGATGGGAAAGAAGAAGCAAACCACACCAGAGTACCCCGCCAACTACACACCTGATATAGGACCTAAATCTTCCTTTTTAAAGGATGGGGGGGAAAAGTACTGAGTCAGGGTGATAGTGAATGCTTCAAAATCAAAATACAGAATTTCCTTTAGTGTTGAAGTTGTAAAGTAGTACAATACAGGCCACATTTCACCAAGAACAAAAAGAAACACACCACACATGATCATAAATATTTCAAGCTCCATTCTGTATATATTCATCATAATTTTGATCCGGAGGGGGCCTGCTGCTTCATCAAGTGTGATGTCGGGGCCAGCCCAGGCTGAGTGGAAGGCAACAGACCAGCAGATAGACATAGGCAACTCATTAAAATAACTTTTCTTCTCTTACTGGAATTGAACTTTCGTCTTTGTATGCAACAGCCATGGCCATGAGCCTAAACACTACACCACAGATGCCAGCAACCACACCTGAGAGCTCACAAACCATAAGCAAGTCTTTAAATTAAATAATACGGGGGTTTTTTGTTTTGTTTTAGTAGAGGTTTTACGGGGCTGCATAAGGTCATATGTGCGCCAGAAGATTAGAGGTGTTACAAGAGAGTAACAAACAAAAAAAAAAAGAAGGGGAGATAAGGACGATAGATGAATTTTATTAGATGTTTGATGGGAAAGAAGAAGCAAACCACATAAGAGCACCCGCCAACCACCCACAAACAATACGTTTAACAGTTCCTAAACAGAACTGCAAGGAAGTACACAGCACTTGGACACAAACTCTCGTCAAGGAACAATAAATAGAGACATTCAATTACAATCCCTTTATTTCACAATTTCATACTGACGAAGGAGAGCACAGAAAACTTGAACTGGTGAGAATAGCCAGACAACAATTTGGTTTGTTGACTACCAAAATTTGACATATATGAGCAGAACTATCGAATAAGAAAAACATAGCTAGATGAACACTACACTGTTTGCAATTGAAATGATTCGAGTTCGCTCGCATGTATTATTTCTTTTCATGCAGAAATATATATATATATATATATATATACACATATCAAGGAAATTTAACAGATTTTTCATGCTCTAAGAAAAAAGCTCACGGTTAGCTTTTCTCAGACCAGAGAGTATGTCCAGGAACTTTGACCTGTGGTCAAGCCAGTAGGCCTATTTTTGTTCAAGTGCAAGTATTCTGTGCTCTGCAGTGTTTTGATTTCACAATCTTTATTCAAACATACATTCAATGTCATCTAAAAACTGAAGGTAAGCATTATTTATTACAGCAGAGTCATTTATTTGAAAAACAGCCTACTGAAAACCATAAACCGTTTTTACTAGGAAAACTTGTTCAAAAAATCTTTCAACTGCCAAAGAAGGTTGTTAAAGAGATTATTGCCTTAACACGCCACTGCTTTCCACTATTCCTGTGTACATAACAAAAAACACAAAATACTTTTAAATTTAAATACTATAATAACAATATACAATTACTGAAAAGAGGACTGTAAAGACCATTTTATCGACAGAAATAAAAGACAGCATAAAACTGCCTCCCCAACCCAAAGACGAATAAAAAGCAAAGTAACGACATTCCAGCTACTTTTTTTTTTTTTTTTTTTTACATAAGATCAAAATCGCCAGTCCATTAAAAAAAAAAAACCCAAATTGCACAGCGGTCAGAGAACGAATGCGTGCTGATTTTTTGTTCTGGAAATTAGAATCTATGAACAAGTTGAAGAAGCAAAATAAAATTTCAAAAATTGTCCAGAGGAAAACATACAATGCGGACATTGTACATGGTCTAATAAATATAATCAATCCTTGTGTCCTAGTCATCAGAGCACAAAACTTTTACATTCAATAATGACTGTAGCTTTTCATGTAGCTTTCAAGGATCGCATGATCTGGGGAAATAAAGAAAAAGTAAGATTCAAAGAATGACTCCAAGACACCTGTTGCTATCAATTCAGACTCAAGAAGATACTTTTGAATTAGGCTACCTCCTAATAGAATAAAATGTCAGAATGAAAGAACATTTTTTCATGATTTTGAAGGAGAAAAGGTAACATTTAATGAACTACTCTAACACACCTGTTGTTATCAATTAAGACCAAAGACGATACTTTAGGATTATCTCCTAATAGAATAGACCGTCAAAATGATAGGAAATTTTTTCAAAGTTTTGAAGGAACACATGAGTAACAAATTTCTGCTTCATCAATTTATGTAAATGACTGTAGCCACTCGCAGACAGCTTGAGTAGAAATTTAAAAATCTAGAAGGGACGCTACTTTCCCTCAGTGTAAGAATACAACAGCACATTCAGTAATGTCTTCCCATATTAAGGAAAAAGGAGGCCTTCTTTGAGTAAAATGATTTTTCCAGAATAATGGCTACAAATAAAGACCCGATCGTAGAAAAACAATTTCTGAGCCGATTGGTTAGCGTCTTTACGCAAACCATTTACAAGCTAAATATGAACTAACTAAATACAAGAATCACATCAATTTTGCCCCCACCTCATCAAACTTGTGGAACTGTCTAATGAAAAAGTCTCCGTAGCGTCTTGCCACCTTGGTGTCAGCTATATGAATCATGTCCTGAAAGTAGTAGAGAAAAAAAAGGAGAATTAAGCCAGGAACGCATTAAAAAAGTGGATAAAAAATTACAGATGAAAAAAACCCAACAAAATCTGGAATAAAGGTCTGTCATACCTACATGCATTGGATACAAGCCTCTTTTCTGTTTCAGCGTACTGATTTATTTGCATGTCATAACTTGAAAGAAACCAAAAACAAAACTACGTTCAGACAGATGAAAACTACACATCAGTCTGTGGCGTCGGTGGCCTAGTGGATAGGCTACGCGACTTGTAATCGTGAGCTTGCGGGTTTGAGCCGTGGGCCCGACATTGTGTCCCTGGGAAAAGCACTGTACTCGAATTTTCCTAACTTCACCCAGGTGGGAATGGGTACCCGGCCATAGACAGTAAATGATCTTGTCAGTATGTTAGTGTTTTAGCGCCTATAAATGGACGCTTGCACTGTATGCTTCCCAGGAAGTTGAGGTTGTTTCAGAATGCTCTCAGGTCTGCTTTGGTAATAGTATACAGATTGTGAAGCGCACACAGCTTGCTATTGAGCGGGGATTTGCGCTATACAAATGCTATCTATTAATATTATTTTCATTTACTGTTCTGACTCCGCCCCCAACAGTCATGACTTGTACCAGTGTTTCAGAGGGGGAAGGTAATAAAAATTTTAGCAGTTTAGAAAACCTCTTCGTCAACATGCAAAGAAAATCATTGACCAGAACAAATTATATGACAATCTCCCCCCCCCCACACACACACACATTCTTTACAGGTTTTTAACGCCCACCGCAACAGCAACGTTGAAACCGAGATGATACTTTTCTGTATTTGAGACATTGATACTTTTCTGTATTTGAGACATTAACTTCAATAAAGTAACATTGCCATACCTTGTCAATGTAGAAATCTACTTCAGACGCTGACTGAAACTCTCCCTCCAAGCCACTGGTTCCCTTTATCCAGACAAGATTCTTCATCTTGTGCTGAAAGAGAAACATCAAAATACTGCATTACTGAATTTAGTTAATACCATTGGGGGGGAAGTGCCCTCTTCATAAGATGGGAAAGATTAAACGTAACATTTTACTTTCCATTTTGCGAAATTCGTCTTGAAAATGCAAAACATAAAAAGATATTTCATTAAAATATATCGACTCACAGTCACACTAGCAGGGAAACTAATTTGCCAGAACATCAGTAAAACATCTTTATAAAATAAACTTCTGAAAAAATAGGGTGCAGAATAAAAACACATGAATCTGGAGAAAATTACAGTACCGGTACCTTAAGTATTAACCCTAACTCTGGCAAATGGTTTCAACAGGTATGGCAGGGCCAGTCAGCCAAAACGTGCACATGCTTTACAAATCAAATTTATGGACTTGCATCAAATAAAAACCCTACAAAAGTATATATTTTCTGAAAGATAATTGAATGAACTTTTATATTTTACCATTGAACATATGATTTTATTTTATTTTCAAGGGGTTAGGTAACTTTGAAATCCAAGATGGCTGACATAAAAAATTTACATGCTCATTAGCATATTCACCAATCTAAAGTATTCCTTGTTATAAAAAATGTGAGATAGCAGAAATATGGGTTTTTCAATTACCTTTCAGAAAATGTATAGTTTTATAGGTTTGAGAAGAACAGGTAATGAGTTATGACTGTTTCAATTTGTCATGTGGTCTGTTTCGAACGCAGCTGATACTCGCTAATTTTATACCAAACTCAACATAAAAACACTCTAAGTACAACCATGTGGTTTTCAGCAATCTGCTGGTAGTCTGTAATAATTAGTATAGCAAAAGGAACCTACTTTACTCTATAGCTCTCCTTTTTCTGCCCCTATTAGACTCCCAAAGTAGTAGAATCTAGTGTTCCATTTGAAAGAGAAGTCGGGGCAGGATGAGAACTGGTAATGTATCCCCATTGTCTGTCAGATCTAATCCCAATCTTGACTGAACACCAATAAATCCACCACTAACAGTGTCTGAATAACTTTCCCTAGTCAATTCACTTTCAAATGTATCCAAAAAAGATCGATTTTTGGCCATTTTAGACCCACACAAGTGATAGATCTACACTGGCATTAGTGGCTTGTGACCTGATCAACAAGCTTTCAAAACATCCCTCTGTTTTGAAAGCAAAATACTCTTCTCCTAAGCCAGAATGGTAGAAATATTCTGATTGGTTGTAGGTTAGCCTTTTAGCCAATCAGAAATCACTTTAGGAAGCCCCAAATATTTAGTTGGAAGGCAGAAGCAGCAGTTTACTATATGGTCCTATGAGATCGGCCCTGCCAGTTTCATGGCAGGAAATGGGCCGATTTAATCGGCCCTTGCCAGAGTTAGGGTTAAGGATACCACACAAAAACCCAAAGACTAGCTGGTTTATATAAAAATCAATTTTCTTTTTAAAAACAAAAATTGAAACAGGTACAGAATGAAGTAGAAACTGAAAATCAGACAAAAAGCACAAGTTTAACCACCAGTTGACAATGCACTTAATAAAATATTTCACTGAATATTTAACAAGAAACAATTTTTTACACAATTAAGAGTCGTATGTTTCAAAAGGGTAACACACATACCTTGAAGCACATCAAGTGAGTGCAGAGCTCGTCATCAGACTGAAATAGAAAAAAAGTAAAGACTTAATTTTAGTTTTAGTAAGAGTTTTACGGCACTTCCAACACAATTAGGTCATATAAGTGCCGAAGATTTGAGGTGTTACAAGAGAGTAACAAACATAAAAAAAGAAGGAGAGATAAGGATGATAGATATTTGATAGAAAAGAAGGAGCAAACCACACCACAGCACCCGCCAACCATCCGCGTCTTAATTTTACTTCCATGTGGCGAGTCAAGTGATAGCCACATCTTTCAGGAAAAATTAATCAGACAGGAAAGAAGTAAACAGAGATGACCACACCACAGCACCCACCAATCATTGCTCTTTTACTATTTGTTTGTTTTTGTAAAGTGATTTACGGCACTCGCAACTACATAAGGTCATATGAGCGCGCGGGACACATCTAATATTTTCAGTTGGTAGGAAATTTGGAATTTTGCACGGGTGGCGGTCGAAGCCTACTCTTATCGATTTTAGACCACCAAGGAATCTTTAATGTGCGCAACTTGCACACGGGCCCTCCGAGATTTTTCATCCTTGTCCGAGAAGGCTAGGTGTACATCTTTCCTACCAGAAGGAGCCCAGAGGTGGGGGCAAAGGAGGTGAGGGGGTGGGGGCAGAAAGAGGAGACGAAAGCAGACGACAGAACATTGCTAGAGAGCAGGAAATGAGGTGAAAGGACACAAATTTAGAGAATAAAATTTTTCGGTTGCCACTCGGATTCGAACCCAGGACCTTTGAATGAGAGGCCAACACCTTAACCTCCAGGCCACGAGAGCCCCCTCTTTTACTATAGCAAGAATCTCCTATCAAAATTCGCATTAAAAAACAAACACGGAAACAAACAAAAAAAGCGTCAACAACAGCACTGGTCCTTCAAACAAAAATTATTTTTGAATCACTGTTGCTGTCAGCCCCTGCGAGAAAAGATTCTAAACATGATGATGCAAAAATGTACACCTTGCATTTGAGTCCAAATCTGATCAATAAATATAGAACAAGCTGCTGCACCAAAGTCCATACCAGGCAGGAAAACACATCTGCATGAACTTTACTTTCAGCCCATTTCTTCATTTCATGTACCAAGAATAGATAAAAACAAACTGTACACATATATGCACAAGTTCATCTACACGTATCCTCCTCTGAGGATACCTGTCCCCAAGGTGAATTTCCTTATAAAAATATAAATAAACATACAACTGTGTGATAGAAATAAAGATACAATAATAGCCCTGTTAACGACTTTCCAAAAGAACCCCTTATAATATGACGCCAGGATAATTAAAAGTCCATCTAAAGGAATTAACAGTTTCAAATTCTGGCAGTTTTCCCCACTTTGTGCCAATAAAATAATTCGCAAAAATTCTTTTATGGAAATACATCATTTTTTTATCATTGAAGAGAAGAATGAGCAGATCACAGTAAAACATAAATCCATAACCACATGGACATATCACCAACACTCCAGTGTGTTTGGACGTGTCAAGAAAACTCTGCTCTCTTCAGAAAAGTCACAACTCTGAGGGAACACTTTACTGCTGTTTAGTTTAAGTATGAGTTTTACGACACTTGCAACACAATAAGGTCATATTAGAGCTGAAGATTAGAGATGTTACAAGAGAGTAACAACATACCAAAAAAAAGAGGAAAGATTAAGATGATAGTAGTGTGATAGGAAAGAAGGAGTAAACCGCACGAGAGCACCCCCCAACCACTCACCACTTTACGGCACAAACAAGAAACTCACCATATCCATGAATGCAGCAAGTTTTGCAATGGGCAGTGTGGTGTACAGCTTGAGGTAACTGAATGATGGACCACATGAGGAAGAAAAGGAGAGAGGGACTTGTTAGCCAATATGATTTTTAAATCAAACAACAACATGTGAAATCTCACAAAGCAAGAAGGAAGAGACAGCAGCAAAACTCACTGTGTACCAATATGTTTAAAAATGAATTATGTGCCGCACTCTTATTCTGGCTCCATTATATCTATACAAACTGTGTACATTATGTTTCCCAAAGGTTTTCTCTGCTCAAAAAAAGTTTGTAGTTCAGTTTTTGTAGAGGTTTTACAGCGCTCGCATCTGCATAAGGTCACATGAGCGCCAGAAGATTAGTAGAGGTGTCACAAGGTGCAACATAACATAGGAAAGAAGAAGGGGAGATAAGGACAATAGATGTTTCATAGGAAAGAGAAGGGGAGATAAGGACAATAGATGTTTCATAGGAAAGAAGAAGGGGAGATAAGGACAATAGATGTTTCATAGGAAAGAGAAGGGGAGATAAGGACAATAGATGTTTCATAGGAAAGAAGAAGGGGAGATAAGGACAATAGATGTTTCATAGGAAAGAAGAAGGGGAGATAAGGACAATAGATGTTTCATAGGAAAGAAGAAGGGGAGATAAGGACAATAGATGTTTCATAGGAAAGAAGAAGGGGAGATAAGGACAATAGATGTTTCATAGGAAAGAAGAAGCAAACCACACCAGAGCACCCGCCAACCATCAACCAAAAATGTTTAAAACAGTGAGTTTCCACAAGTAGCCCATCAAATACAAATAACCATGAAAATGTATTCAAAGACACAAACAATCACCAAATTGAAACCCTACCCTCCACGAACTTTATCAACAAATCGGAAACCCCTAGTGCAGTAGAGACAATTGATCAGTCTTGATTTTTCAAAACTGAGTACAATGTGTGTGTGTGTGTGTTGTGTGTGTGTGTGAGAGAGAGAGAGAGAGAGAGAGAGAGAGAGAGAGAGAGAGAGAGAGAGAGAGAGAGAGAGAGAGGGAGGGAGGGAGAGAGGGAGAGAGGGAGGGAGGGAGGGAGAGAGAGAGAGAGAGAGGGAGGGAGGGAGGGAGGGAGGGAGGGAGGGAGAGAGAGAGGGAGGGAGAGAGAGAGAGAGAGAGAGAGAGAGAGAGAGAGAGAGAGAGAGAGAGAGAGAGAGAGAGAGAGAGAGACAGAGAGAGAGAGAGAGAGAGAGAGAGAGACAGAGAAAGAGAGACAGAGAGAAGACGAATACATGTAAATTGTTATGGGTGTGGACGCAACAGTGATAGCAATAAAGGAGACAAGAAAAATAAATAAATAAATAACTAATTTTAAAAACTATTAAATTAAAATAATTCGACCCTCACCCTCACCTCCCAAAAAGAAAACATCTTTTAAGAGAGTGGCCATTTACCATAAATCAAATTTACCTGCGAATGGTTGGAACCTGAATCTGCTGTTCAACTTCTTCCTTGAAGACCAACAGCTGCAGCTGGAAAGGCTCCTAAAGAAAAGGAAAAACCCCATCTCCTTAAACATATCATCTATGAAAACAGTAAATCCACAAACACATACAAGGACTTGTAGTGCCTTTTCTTTCTTCAGTTTTCAAAATTCAAGCAACATTCTAAACAAAGGTATCAACATCAGAGTTATGTTAAGAACTCAAATTGATTCCAGCCCTAAGGGTGTTTTTTTGTCTCTCCCAAAGAATTCAGTCTCAATTCAAATAATTTCATGAACACTTTCGATATCGCTATTCTCAGTGTCTATTTTCTTTTTTTTTAAATTTAAAAAAATAAAAATAATAATAAATAAATAAAAACAAGAACAACTTTATGTCTATGTATGTTGCATAAAAGTAACTGTCTATGTATGTTGCATAAAAGTAACTGTCTATGTATGTTGCATAAAAGTAACTGTCTATGTATGTTGCATAAAAGTAACTGTCTATGTATGTTGCATAAAAGTAACTGTCTATGTATGTTGCATAAAAGTAACTGAGCCCACCCTTAAAAGTTTACCAGTAAATCAAATATTCCAGTTAGGAAGGATAATTCCCAGGAATACTCTCCATCTACGATAAACTTTACCTTGTGCTGCGGGGCATTGGCTCCCATCAAGTCATAGTTTGGCGGAACAGGAGACAAAAACTTGGGGCATGCAAAGGCAAAACAGGCTTCGAACTCTGCCATCTCACTAAAAGAGAAAGAAAACATACCCTTTTTAATTCACCAACAAGGCATGTGAGAAACAGAGTATAACAGTCGATCAGCGGTTACCAGGGGTATAGGGAAATACGGCGTCAGTGGTTACCAGCAGTATAGGGTTTTAAGGGTTCAAAATGGAAATTTCATTACCACATATTTACCTTCCAGACAATTGTGGGTTTTTTTTACCAAATAATTTTTCAAACAGCAGTAGACTGTAAATAAACCCTGACTATGTATGAAAGGCATGAAAAAAACTGACACATCAATAGACAGAGGTTTTTCTTGCACTGCTTACCCTTTCTGCATCCTGTTCATTTTCTCCTGATACTTTTCCCTGAGATGTGAGTGCACGCTCTCGTCAATCCTCATAGGGTGCAGCACCAGGCAAATGGACAGCAAGGTGTACATTTTGTCATTCATCTTTGAAATCTGCATGAAATGGGGCAAAGAAATAACGTGAATGAGTAGCGGGTGGGGGTGGTAGCGATATGATTCCCCTGCACCATGAAAGGTAACAAAGTGCATTTGATAACCATTTCTGTTAAAATGGTATATTTATTTGTCCCTTTAAAAATACCTTTCTCTTGGTACTCATTACAATGAAATGCCTAACTAGACACAAGATAATTTCTTCAAACGAGAAGCACATCTCCTGCCTACCCACATCACTTTAGGTTTAACTTGATCTTCCCCACGTCACATAGTTTTATATTAAGAAACAAGAAATAAATCTTCTCACTGCAACAGAAATTGCATGCAGGTAATGAAATCCGAACAGATTGCTTTAAATTTAACAAACAACAAAGGAGGAAAAAAATGTCCGTTTTTTAAAGTTTCTTCCCATCTTCTATGCGCCCCCCTCCCCAACTCTTGTTGTTACGTTAGCATAATAAATAAAAACAGATATATGTACCAGGGTTCTTTGGGCAACTGCTATAAAATAAACAACTGCCCTCGTTTCCCCTGAGATAATATGGCAGTTTCAACAAATGAAGAAACAAGAAGTGAATCTCCTCAAAACAGCAGAAACTGCACTCAGGTCACGGAATCTTTACAGATTACTTAACCCAAACTGTACGTCGTATTTTACTATCGTATCCATACCACATGGGGAAATCTATGCTACCACTTTCCAAAGACAAAATTTACACGTTAATCCGATCCATACGCTTTGCATAGCAGCATGTCAAAAAGAGCTTTTGAGAAATACTGAAAGTTTTAAAGAGATCTTCATACTAGATGTATTCTAAAATGTGAAGAATACAACCATACAAAATGACCCCAGGGTGTACGGATAGGGTTAAAGTTCAACAAAAAATGATCCGATCACAATAAATTCTATAGCCAACTAGGCCTTCCCCACAGTGACATACTCCAAATGACAGGAGCCTACCACAAATCTAAGCTTACCTGAGAAAATAAACTTGAGCATGACGTAAACATATTAGGTAGCTATGAAAAGAGAGTCAACATAATCTACAGAACAACAAATGTATGTTCTGGAGACCTTCAAATCACTCAAACAAAAAAAGTAAGCTGGCAAACATTGAATATTATTGGAACATTATTAACAATCTTATAAGTTATATTGAATACCCAGCAAAACATTACCTGATCGTAGAGCTGAGTCCTGTTTTGGAACATAGTCTTCGTTCTCTGTATGTACAGAAGTATGTTGGAGAGAGTGCGGATGGCGTCCTGGTACCGCCGCATCATCATGTAGGCAAAGCCCACATAGTAGAAGGTGGTGATCTGGCAGGCTGGCACACGCGAGTACAGGCTCTGAGAGGACACAAGATGGAGCTAAAGATCAAACAGCAGCCAAATGTATACTTAACTCTTTGAGCCGTCGCCAAGACAACAGCCAAATGTATACTTAACCCTTTGAGCCCTCACCACCGGTACAATAGTGCGTGTGTAAAACTGCCCTCACACCTAGCCACCAGTAAAGCAGTGGTGTGTCAAACTGCCCGTATACCTAGTCACCGGTACACAAGTGGCGTGTAAAACTGCCCGTATACCCAGTCACCGGTAGAGCTATGAGCGAGACCTTATCCCCAAACCGGCCCACCTGGGACAAAAAGCGCACAAGAAACCGTGTTTACTACACAGGACATTACTGATTATTTTGAAAACCTTTCTGAAATAGAGATGCTAGTAATGACGAAGACTACCATGGGCGGGATATCGAATGTGATTTTTATGATCACATAAATGTTAGTAATATATCGCTCAGGAGCTCAGGCAGAGGGGCATGTGGCATCAGGAGGCCAGGGCTTAAAGGGTTAAAGATGATATAACCTTACAAGATCACAGAGATACACGACAACTCACACTGAAAAAAAAGTACTTAACTCGACAGAACAGAGGACACTACAGAAACATTTAAAATGTCAGGAATATAGAATTAGTAGTAGCCTAGCCTGAAAAAGCTTTCCTTCCATCAACAAATACAAAAACTGACAAAAGCAAGACTAAAGTAAGTGCCAAATAAACATAATACTTTACCACCCTGTGCCCGGTGGCTGAAAAGTTCCCTTTAACGTATCAAAAAACGATCATCAGCATCATCAAGTGCCAGATCTCTCTCTCTCTCTCTTTCTTCTGACGCTGTGGCGTCATAAACGGTCAGCAATGCCGACAGCACGCAGGAATAAACGGTCAGCAATGCCGACAGCGCGCAGGAACTCAACACTTGCCCGGGGATCCTTAAAAAGTGCTGAAAGTGGGTTACTGAAATGTCTCAGCACGGGTTCTGGCACGATAGTTGGCGGGACATCTGAGGAACATCTCTGCAGTAGACATTGGCGATCGTGGTTCTCCGTTAATTCCTTTGCTCGGATGCTATTGAAAAAAGCTACATTGCCCTAATCTTTCCTCGTTACCCATCTGTTTAGGTTCTCCCAAATAGGTTGCTCTGGGCCTACCCCTGCCTCTTTTGCCTTCAATTTTGCCAGTGAGAGCTAGATGTTCAAGACCAAAACAATGCATGCAACGATTCAACAACAACAACAACCCATTCCCACACTTAGTTTTAATTTTAGTAAGAGTTTTACAATACTTGCAACAGAATAAGGTCATATAAGTGCCGAGGTTAAAATGTGTTACAAGAGAGTAACATACACAAAAAAGAAGGAGGAGAGATAAGGACGATAGATGTTCGATAGGAAAGAAGGAGCAAACCACACCAGCACACCCGCCAAACCCCATCAGAGCACCCGCCAACCACCCCCGTTCTCACACTCACCTTCTTGTTGAAGTCAATGTTTTCTAGCACTTTGAGGGCCTGGTAGTAGTCACCCAGAAGAGAGTGCAGTCTCAGGAGTCCAACCAGACTGAAGTAGCCCAGCATCTTGTACAGCGAGTGCTGACCAAACTCTCCGGCAACACTGTCGGGATCACCTGCAGGTAAAAAATTTAAAGAATGCAATATCTGACAATAAGTTGAGCTGCAAATTTTTTATTTCACAATAGTAAACATTTCTGGTGTTTCACACTAGTGTCTGAAAGAAAGGTGCATTTTTAGAAAAAAAATAAACTTTTCAAATTATGTTTTTAATGGTTTTTCAGCCATGTTCAATCCTCTAAACTTATAACTGCATCATTTTCCATGGGGCAGCAAATACAATTTTGGCATCTAGAACTCAACTGTATAATTTCTCTGCACATCTAATACTCAACAATAAGCTTCAAGAACCATATGACCTAAATTACTGACCTTTTTGTTTTTTAAACGAGGCATTTAAGTTTAAGTGGCTAATCTTATTTTCTCTATAAGGTGACCTGAAAGGAACAAAAACTTTGCTGTTATACGAACTGATAGTATTATTATCATGAGATGCCACATGTAATATCCATGACACATATTTTCGTTTGGAAACCTGACTTTACTGCATCTTGTATACCCTGCTCTCAATTTCTTTTCACCACTAGGCATCAAATTGAGGCCAATACAAACCTGCCACTCTATGAATTCTAAAAATCAGGATCTTATGGGGAAACAAAATTGGGATCTATGGGGAAAAAATCGGGATCAACAACAAATCCCAGGGTGACTGCCAAGCTGACTAGAAAATTTTTCGAGGTGTCCATATATATAATGAAGGCAGAGTAAGTTTTTAGAAAAATCTGGAGCAACAGACAGGGGGGAAACAAAACAAAAAACAAAAAAAACAAAAAAACGGGATACACGTGACCGAAATCGGAATGCTTGAGATTTGGAGCACAAAAAAATCGGGGGAAAAGGCAGGTTTGTAAATTTAACTTCAAATAAGGCAATGTCCTTTATCAAAACTGAAGTGAAACTGAAACAATTTTGACATTCCAACCTAAGAGAATTACAGGGATAAAACCAGCTCACCCCCACTAGTGTAGACCTCCAGCTGCTTGTTGATGTTGGACTTCTCCACCAGGGAGTGAAGCACGTTCAGCACACTGTGCACATTCCAGATCTGAATAGTGGGAAAATATCAAACAAAGATATCAGTTATATGTGTCACGTCGCAATTGAATCAGGCACTCTCAGTTTTTCGGCATACGAAGCTATTGGTATCACTTTAAAACTTGTTTAGCTTTTAAAGAAGAAATCACACCTGTCTTAAATACAAGTCGAAATATTTCAGATTGAAGGAGGTGGGGGTCACCAGGTTTCTTGGTCAAAATAAGGAGGAAAATGCCTGCAAAAGTTTGGTGAGTTCCGGGGGGTGGGGGGGGGGGAGAGAGAAGAGATTCGGGGGAAGTACATTATAATAATGGTATGATACTGTCTATTATAGTAAGATTGTGAACATGAAAGTAAGTAATACCAACCTTGGGGTTTGTCCTCAGAAGTTCAATGTCATCTTCAGTTTTCTTATTACTTGACTTGTGCCTGAAGATGCTGAATGCTTGAAACTACATAAAAACAGAAAAGAAAATGCATTATTTATTTGCAATTAGAAAACAACATTCACGTTCTCCTAAACAGTTACTGAGCTTCAAAACAGGTCTCACTCATTTTGACAGTTCAAATTCTATGCATAAACAGTAAATTTTAGTAAGAGTTTTACAGTACTTGCAACACAATTAAGTCCTAAAAGTGCTGAAGATTAGTATTATATATATTATACATAGTAGAGGGTTTTACAGCACTCGCAACTGCATATAAGCAGGCCGTATGAGCGCCAAGGGGTGGGTGTCTTTACAGGGAATCAGACTTACTCTGCTCACCTCTCTAACTTCAACAGCACAAGGTCTGCTTCAACTATCAAGGCACCCCGGAAATAGCAGGTCACAAGAGAGTGACAAACATACAAAAGAAGTAGAGGAAAAAATTACAATAGTAAGGATTAGGAAAGAAAAAGCAGCAGTTCCCTATTGTAGATCAGGCACAGTTATGAGCGTGACATGAATCAGCCAATTCAAATTTTACTGTGCTTGAACGAGAAATGTCCCCCCCCCCCCCCCCCTTGGGAATGACCTAAAGACACTACAGTCAGTGGCACTGCCCCGAGGGGATTAAGATTAGTGGTGTTTCTAGGATGCACCATACATAGAAAAGAAGTAGAGATAAGAACGATACACATTTGACAGGAAAGAAGGAGCAAACCACACCAGAGCACTCACCAACCACCCACTTATAAAACAGATTAGCACCCTACTCGACCCAAACAGGTCGCTTCTTACGCAGAGTACCTTATCTAAAAGTAAGAATCAAGAAGATGGAAGACACACAGAGACAGCACAGAGAGAATATTCTACAGTAAGTATCACACAAGTACAAAAAGAATGTGAAAACAGCGGAAAAACAGAGCTTCGATCCACCTCACTGACATGCAAGCAAGCACTGTGACAGAATCTGCGCTTCAAACATAGGAACAATTAGCCATGAAAGAAGCTGCATGAAGATAACCTTGAGACCATCATAAGCTAAATTGACCGTCTGCATTGACGAAAAGAATCCACATTTGACTAATTTGAGCGGACAATAGTGGGAATAAACTGCTACAGTACAGTTGGTCAGTCTATCACCCCCCCCCCTCCGAACCCACAGCTGGACGTTGTTTGTCAGTGTAAAGAATAAAGACATACCTTATCCTTCTAGGTTTATTTGCAGCTTAATCTATATCAAACTTTTTTCTCCCTTAGAGTAACTTATTTTACTAAAGCAGTCTGTACCTGATAGATAAACTCGTCAATGATGTCCCACAGCCACTGATCAGGCAACTCAAGAGGAACAGGCCCCTCGGCATCTGAAATATATCAACAGCACATACGATGAGATACTGTACGGTACATGAAATCGACACACAATGTTATGTATTACATGCAAGAAAATGAAGTCTATTTACAGAAGAGGTATTTTCATATACTCTTACAAAAATATAAGAGTGAGCTCCACTGCTTAAAAATAAATATAATGCCTTTGTTTTAGTAGAGGTTTTACGGCGCTCGCAACTGCATAAGGTCATATGAGCGCCAAGAGGTGGATGTCAACAGAGAAGTCCTTACAGCGAGTCAGACTTACTCTGCTCACCTCTCTAGCTTCAACAGCACAAAGTCTGCTTCGACTATCAAGGCATCCCAGAAATAGCGGGTCACAAGAGAGTGACAAACATACAAAAGAAGTAGAGGAAAATGACGATAGTAAGGATTAGGAAAAAAAAAGCAGCAGTTCCCTGTTGTAGTTCAGGCACAGTTATGAGCATGACATTGTTGGATCAGCCCATTTACAATTCTACTGTGCATTAGAACAAGAAATGTCCCCCCTTTGGGAATGGCCTAAAGACACTTCAGTCAGTGGCACCGCCCCGGGGGGTAAATATTATGTGTCAAGGTTCTTTGGGCAACTGCTAATAAATTAAGACAATTGCCCTCGTTTTCCTTGAAATAGCATGGCAATTTCAGCAACTAAAGAAACAAAAAAATTAATCTCCTCACTGCAACAGAAATTGCACGTAGCCAATGAAATCTTATCATATTGCTTTAAATTCAACAACAATTATAAAGAAAAGAAATAAATAAAATCTGTTCATTAGTTTTTTTCTTCCCATCTTCTAT